TTTTTATAAAAAAATGCTAAAAAAAAATTCCTTATAAAATATAAGGAAATGTGATACAGAATTTTAAAAAATGTATAAAAAACTTATTTATAATAATAAAAAAATGTATACAAATTTTTTATAAGGAAGGGGTATATAAGAAGTCTTTTGAGAAATTGAATGCTTGTCCTGATCTCGGCATGAAAGTACTGACTCATGCAAAAGCTTCTTCTTTCTGTTTCTTTGTCTCATAATATCACTTATCTTCTTACTCACCGAAACTAAGAATTCATCAGTCTCCCTATCCTCTAACGGTTTATTAGATGTACTAGGCTGTGTTGCAACATCAACAACTCGCTCCTGCTTGATTTTCCCGACATCACAATTTAGTTCTGCAATGAGTTTAGCCTTTTCTTTATCACTTTGCTCTAGTTTTGCAAGTCTAGTTTCATTCTCTTCCATTGCCTGCCTTAGCTTAGCGTTTTCAGCTTTAACCTTGGCATTTTTGGCTTTAATCTCAGCATTTTCGGCCAGGAGCTCGATGACGCGTTGTTTCAATGAATCAAGTTCAGAATGCATGTTCGATAATAACTTTTATATAGACGCGATTTATTTAAAATGCATTTTACCCAAGTGGGACTTTAGGTCTCACTTTTTTATCTACAATACGTCTCCATATCTCACAAAAAATATATTTGATACAATGTATAGCATTTTCAGTTTGAATTCTTTATTGATACAGAAAATAAATTACATGATTTAATGATACATAAACTTATTCTACAAAGTGAAATGGCGCTTCTATACAGATTCATATAAGTGTTAAACTATCTATACTAACATAATATCCCAACATTAACTCTAATCCAATTTTAACGTTGATATTCTGGATAGAAATAAAATGGTCGTCAATTATGCATAGAATACGCGGATTCAGAAATAAATTAACAATATTAAACTTACCGAAAGTTTATGTTCTCCGCTTAACGAAAAAATAGATATAGCTTTGTAAGCTCTGAGTCGCTTTCTTGCAAATGTACAGCCATAACATACCTTATTCTGGAAATTATTTTGATAAATTTTAGTTCGTAAGTATTTACTGACAGTTCGATTTTCACGTTTGCAGAAGATATATCATGATCGGCTGTTTTATTTTAGGTAGTGGTACTTCTTTTAACTTTGAGATCAGTGAACTCGAGGACTTTACAAACTTAAGTAAAGCCCTCTGGGAGAAGAACAAGGACTACTTTATCAATACTGGAGTAATGAATGAATTAAATCTCAAATTATAGAATGTTGAGATTCCTACTAGAAATAATAAAAAGTATTCGGAACTGAAGAAGAATCTGCGTGTAGATATTGACGTTGAACAAGAATTCAGAGGTGTGGAGATAGACCAAACTTAGCTTATTAATTCAACATTCACAGTATCTCCTTCAAAGGAATACATACACATAATTGTCCAACCTCTACCACCCGCCACTACTGGTAAGTGTCTCCCAATGGTTTACCTACATCAGGAAGTCAAATGAATTTTGTACATCACAATATGCATTACTTTTTAATATTCATTATAATGTTTATTAGTAA